GCCGCCCACCGTGAGCGCTGCCACAAGCCAAGGTGCCAAGTCCTGGGGACACCACCAAGGCCAGCGAGGCCACCAGAGCCCCCACATGGAGGGCTCCCCCCTCCCCCCACCCCTCACCCCCCCGGGGAGGCAGCTCGCCCGACTGCATTAATCCAACGCTCACTCGAGCGTCAGAGTGCACAGGATTTCTTGTAAAAATGATCGGGCTGCTAATTAGGCTGTTTATAACGTGTTTCCCTGGTCACTAATGATCATTAACATGCAAATGAGCTCTGGGAGGGGAGGCCTGGCCCCTTCATTACCAGTTAATTACTGTTTGCATACGGGCCGCGGAGGTGAATGGCGGCGGGCGCCGGCGCGGTGATAATTGCACCGCCGACATTTGGAAAGTCATTTCGCCGCGTTATTTCCTGTGTGATTAATGGCTCCGCGCCTCGGGTTGGTAAACTTCGTTAGCGCGAACCGATGTCGGCTGCTGCACAGAGCGGCCGGCAGGCCCGGCCCATTCATCTCCGTCCCGGGTCCCTGCTGGTTACCAAGCTCCAGAGAAAGGAGAAGGCAAAGGAGAAAGTTGGGCGGCTTCGGGGGAAGCGAACTCCCCGAAAGTCCTGCTTTTAGGGCTCCCGACTCTGCTCGGACGCGAGGACAGCGGGGAGGACAGAGGGCGTCCGTCCGTCCGTCCGTCCGTCCAAAGTGCTGAACTGGGGAGACCTGTGACTCCAGGAGGCCGACCCCGGGGCGGAGGCCAGGTCCTCCCTGCACGGTGGCAGCTCCGAGGATGGGGCCCGGCGTCCCTCCTCCCTCCCTCCCTCCCTCCCTCCTCCCTCTCTCCCACCCGCCGGGTGCCTGCCGGGCTCTGCCGCCCACCCTGCCCTCCTGGCGCCAGCGTCCCAGAGAGAGAAGCCCGGGCAGACGCTGGAGCAGGCGAGGGGCGAGAGGAGGGCGGAGCTGTTCTGGATGAGGGGCTGAGCGAGGGTCTCTGTGGAGGGACAATGGGAAGGGAGGGAGGAAGTGGGGGGAGAGGGGCCGTGCAAAGGTCCTGGGGCAGACACAGAGAGGGGCCGTGTGCCTGGACCACGTGGCCAAGGTGCTGGGAGGTGGGCAGCAGAGGGTGGGCAGGAGCCCCGGGAGCCTGATCAAAACAGAAGAGCCGTCTCCACGGCCCTAAGAACTGGCTCCCTGGGCAGGAGCTTCGCCACAGGAGCACCCCGACCGCAGAGGGGGCCCCGGAAACCACCAGCCCAGCCACTGAGACCAAAACACACTCGAGCAACAGGTGGGCAGGTGGGTGGGGGTGGGGGCGCTGCATTATTGATCAGGGACAGGAGAGCCACCTGGCGGTGTGCCCCGCCCCCTCGCCCGCTGCCAGGCCCGCAGGAAGCTCAGCGAGGCCGTGAGGCAGGGGGAGCCGTCAGGCCGGGGTGGTCAGGGGCCAGGGGAAGGGTCCGAGAGGGGAGCCCCCGCCCCAGGCTCCTGCCCCAGGACTGTGTGCTCCGCCCGCAGTTCCCTCCTGGCCGGTGGCCGGGACCAGAGGCTGAAATTTCATCGGGTGCCGTGCGGACCAGGCCCCCAGCCTCCCTGGTCCCCCAGGTGAGCAGCCGCGGCAGCCACAGGTAAGCCCCCGGGGCGAGGGCGGCCTGCGTCCTGGGGTGTCCTGAGGGCTGCCAGCCAGGGGGCTCTGGGTGAGCACCGGGGGGGCCGCGGATGGTGAGAGCTGTACCCCGAGACCTGGCCAGAGCTGCACCTGGCTCCCGGCGAGGGGGAGGGCGCAGACCTGGACTGTTGCTAAGTGCTCTCCTGCCTCATGGGGGTTGGCTGGGGGATGAGTCTGCCTCCTGGTTGGTGCCTGTGGGGGAGGGGGGAAGGGACCAGGGGAGCCCACAGGGGGGCAGATACACTCAGGCCTGGGCTGTGGGCCTGCCCTCCCTCTTGTGCCACTGGAGTGGGGGGTGGCCGGGGCAAGGCCTACCCATTTGCCTCCAGGGCCGTGCCCAGGCCCCCACTTGGGAGCCCTACCTGGGCCCTGGCAGTGACGTTGGCTCAGGTGTCAGGGGGCTCAGACTCTCCTGGCTGAGGAGGGGTCTGCAGGCGGGGACCTCACTGAGCACCCCCTCCTGGCTCCTGGCCCAGCGCTGGATCAGAGGGGACCGGGGCAGCGGGCGAGGGGAGGAGAGCTGAGGGGAGCGGAGGAGAGCACGCCTGCTCACGGAAAGGTGATGGGAACCTGGGCTTCCCGCCTGCGGCCTCCAGTCCAGCTCCACCCGCCCCTAAAGCCCTGGACGCGCCGGGAACCTCCCACAATGCACCTGTCCTGTAAGGGCGGCTGGGCACGGCCGTGCAAAGGGCAAGGGCTCCCCATGGCCCCGCCGCTGCCCAACTGCCCTCAGGACTAACACAGCCTCTGTCCCACCCCGGTCCTCCCACCGGTCCTCCCGCTGCGGCCTAAAGCAGCACACGTCTGTATCCTCCACACCTGCCCATGGCCCTGCATCCTGACACCCCCCCCCGCCCCCCTCCCCCCCAGCATGAAGAGGGTGCCCTGGGTCACCTGCACCAGGTGTGCTGCCCGAGGCGGGGCTGCCATCACTGCTGGTGACGGGCAGAGACTGGGCTCATCGGCCAGAGCCCGTGGACACAGGGCTCGGGCAAAACTCGGGGGACCGATCAGGGCTAATGTGACGCCCCCCCCCTCCCTGCCTCCTGGCCCCAGGCCCTTCCTCAGCCCGTGACAGCCCCGCTCCATTACGGCTCCTGCCTAATTAGGGTAATGAAAAGGGAAGTCATCAGCAGCGGGAGATCTTAAACTGCCACTGCGTCCCTGCCTGCCCGGGTGCTGCGCCCTGTGAAGGTCAAGGAGCTGCAGAGCCGGCCGGAGGGCCGGACAGGAGGACCGGGCCCTGCTGACCCAGCTGCCCGCCCGCTGCAGGCCTTGCCCAGACCCCCCAACAGGCCAATCCCAAGAGCCCAGACCCTGGGGAGGAAACCGGAGACGCAGCACCCCCACTCCCAGTGCCCACCGCCCTGCCTTGCAGCGCCCACCCCCCCCACCCCCCATGGGCGCCCAGCTGGCTCCCTGGGCCCTGCCAAGGACCGGCTCTGCCTGGCAACTGGGCCCCTTGGCGGAGCCCAAAACAGCACCACCTTTCCAGGGGCCTGCCACGCCCCTCGCCTCCCCTCCCAGGGCCCTCAGGTGGCTGGAAGCGGCCCTTCCCCAGCTACATGGAGGCCACCCAGCCTGCGGCTCGGGCTCAGCTCCTGGCAGCCGCCTTCTGGACCCGGGGGAGCTGGCAGGAGGGGCTGGTGGTGCCCAGGGTCCCCGCCTTCCGCCTTCCGGGTGCTGGGAGGACCCGCTGGGAGGGCGCCGGGCAGGAAAGGCCCAGGAGACCAGGTGGCCAGTGGCCTGGGCAGTTCCCTGGCGGTGGCGCAGGAGGCGGGCGGGGCAGAAAGGACCGGCTGTTCTGGGGGTGCAGGGCCAGGGCGCGCCCACCTCCCCGGGGCTCCGTCCTCATCTGCGAGGACAGGACGGTGAGGCTGTGGAGTGAGGGGCCTCACGCGCGGTCAGCTCCTCCCCCAAGTCCAGTGGCCCCGCACCCGCACCCGGAGCCCACGGTCTGCTCCGGAGCCCGGCCTTCAGGGTGGCTCTCCTCCCCTCCTCCCGGTGGCCCCCGACCCGGCGCCGGGGCTGGGGAGGGACCCAACAGGCCCGGGGGCGGGACAGGGGCGGGGCGGGGCGGGGCGGGGTGAAGGGCGGGCCGGAGGGGCGCCGGGCCGGCTGCGGGGGGCGCAGCTGAGCAGCGGGCGGAGGCTGTTGACACTCTCCCGGGAAACGCGCCATCCCTGCCCTCGGGCTCCGGCTCCGGCTCCGGCTGGGGCTCAGCGCCGGTGGGCGCCTGGGAGCCCAGCCCGCGGACCCTCCTCCAGGGGAGCGCGCCTCGCCCTTCCCCGTGCGCCCCGCACAGCCTCCGAGCGCAGCAGGCGTGACCGTGTGCACACGTGTGAGTAGGTGCGTGTGAGCATGTGTGTGCGCACAGGTGAGTGCGTGTGCGCGGGCCTCCGAGGGCTGTGCGTGTCAGGGAGCATTCACGGGCGGCGGCTGGTCTGCAGGCCCCTGGGAGCCGGGAGAGGACGGGCTGAGTAGCTACTTCTTCAGGGGACGCTGGGAGGGGAGAGGCGCCTGGCGGGGCTGGTCCCTAAACCCCGGCGGGACTGACCCCCTGGCCCCGGCCAGTTGCTCCCCAGTGCCACCCAGAGCCAGGCAGGCGCCCTCCGGGGCCCAGCACCCCCCGCAGGTGGAGCAGGTGTGGGGGTGCCAGAGTGTGGCCCTGGGGTTGGCTGGGCCTGCGGAGTCTCCGTGCTGAGAAGGCTGGGGACGCTGCTATGACCCGGATTGAGGGGTCCGCCCTCCTGAGGATGGAGGGGCAGGCGGTGGAGCGAAGGCCCGGGGTCCCTGCCCCCTTGGGCACCCCGCTCCTCCCCACTGGGCGCTGGGTTGCTGAGCAGGGCCACAGGCCAGTGCGCAGAGGCGGAAGCTGAGCCCCAGAGGCAAATCCCGGTCTGCAGCCGGCAAACCCTGCAGACACCCTGCCGGCAAACACCTGCCGGTTCCCCCCCTCAGCTCGGGGCCAGCACTGACACCGGGGGCTCAGGGGGAGGGGCGGGAGGCCGATCTAGAGCAGGCCTGGGGGGCGCAGGGCTGGGGGCACAGGCCTGGTGGGCGCAGGGCTGGGGGCACAGGCCTGGGGGGCACAGGGCTGGGGGGCGCAGGGCTGGGGGCACAGGCCTGGGGGGCGCAGGCCTGGGGGGCACAGGGCTGGGGGCGCAGGCCTGGGGGGCACAGGGCTGGGGGCACAGGCCTGGGGGGCGCAGGGCTGGGGGCACAGGGCTGGGGGGTGCAGGGCTGGGGGCACAGGCCTGGGGGGCACAGGGCTGGGGGCGCAGGGCCGAGGGGCTGACCTCCGTGAGCACTGACCACGCCCCCGCCCACCGCAGGTGCCTGAGGACCGGACATGGCCTGGTGGGGAGCACGGATGTGATGTCGGCCCAGGAGCTTGTGGCCTGCCTCTGCCGGGAGGGGGACCAGCACCTGGCGCTGGGGGAGCCCCCGCTGGCCACGGCCTTCTACCTGGCTGCCTTCAGCTGCCACGCCCCCTCCGCCGTGCGGAGCGTCCGAGCCGCCCTGGCCGAGGCCCGGGGGGCACCCGTGGTGGCCACGCTGGAGGCCTGGTGCCGAGGGGAAGGCCAGATCCCCGCCATCCACTGGGACGGCATGGCCGTGGTGTCCCTGACCGGGACCCTGGCCTGCGCCTTCCTGGCCACGCTGTGCCCGGACCACCCGGCCGCGGCGCTGCACTCGCTGGCCGGGCTGCTGGCCCGCGGGCGGCACGGGGAGGTGGTGCGGCGCTGCGGGGCGCTGCTGGCCGCGCACTCGCAGCAGGGCCTGGAGCTGCGGCTGACCCGCGCGCTGGCCCGCATCCTGTCGGGGGCGCAGGTGGACGCCGGCCTGGCCGACTACCTGCAGGCCTTCGCCTCCGCGGCCGACCGCACCGTGGCCTTCGTCCTCACCCACCAGCGGCCCTACCTCCCCGTGCTGGTCAGTGTCCTCCAGGCCCACGTCTCGGGGCGGCAGCAGGCCGCGGACAGCGCCGGCCAGCAGGAGGCCGACGGCCGGAGACTCCTAGCTGCCCTGGACCCCGGGGGCACCTGGAGCAATGCCCTCTCCCCCGAAGTCCTGCTCCACGGGGGCCGCTATGAGGACTGCCGGGCAGCCTGCAGCCGGGCCCTGGAGGCCGACCCCACCGGCAACAGATCCCAAGGTAGGGGTACGGGTCACGGCCCCCCGAGGGTCAGGGTGAAGGTCGCTGCAGCCATTTCTTCCCCGCACAGCCAAGTCCTGCCTACGCTGGGGGAGGGGTTGTGCTGAGGCCGGACACCACAGTGACAGGTGGGCAGGGCCCTGCCCTTACCGAGCGCCAAGAAAAGAAGCAAACAAAATAAGCTCTTTGAGAAATGAAACATGCAAGGTGCGCCTCCAGCCGGATGATCAGGGAGGGCTTCTGGGAGGAGGTGTCATTTCAGCTGCAGCCAGGATTCCAGGTTGCTGAGGGAGAAAGGGCGTGGGTGTCCGTACCACTGAGGGGAGCTAGGGTGGCTGTCGGGGGGAGGGGGCAGAGGGAGAGCGGAGACCCTGAAGGCCATAGCCGTGGCCACGCCCTCCTGGCCACGAAAACCTTCAGATTTGACCCTCAGACTAACGAGAGCCATGGGAGGGTTTTGCACTGTGGAGCGAGGTGCTCTGGGTTACACTTGTAAAGTCTCCTTTGGCTGCTGCGTGCAGAACGTGCCAGAGGAGCCAGGGTGAGAACTGAACCTCCTGGGAAGCCAGAGGTGGTCCAGCTGGGGGTGGTCCAGGCAGGGGGTGGTCCAGGCAGGGGGGGTGGTCCAGGCAGGGGGGGTGGTCCAGGCAGGGGGTGGTCCAGGCAGGGGGGTGGTCCAGGCAGGGGGTGGTCCAGGCAGGGGGGGTAGTCCAGGCAGAGGGTGGTCCAGGCCGGGGGGTGGTCCAGGCCGGAGGGGTGGTCCAGGCAGTGGGGGTGGCCCAGGTAGGGGGTGGTCCAGGCTGGGGGTGGTCCAGGCTGGGGGGGTGGTCCAGGCAGGGGGTGGTCCAGGCTGGGGGGGTAGTCCAGGCTGGGGGGCTGGTCCAGGCAGGGGGTGGTCCAGGCTGGGGGGGTGGTCCAGGCAGGGGGTGGTCCAGGCAGGAGGGGTGGTCCAGGCTAAGGATGGTCCAGGCTGGGGCATGTGCCCTGACCTGGAATCGAACCGTGACCTCCTGGTTCATAGGTCGGTGCTCGACCCCTGGCCCCACCAGCCGGGATGAGAGGCATTTTCACTGAAGCCCCTGAGCCTCCCGTGGACGTGGACGTGGGCATGGTCACTTCCCAGGTCCCAGGGTCTGCCAAGGTCACAGGTGTTCATGGTGGGCTGGAATGTGCCCCCGGGATGCTCCTGGCCGCCCCCCACACTGCCCCTAAAGAGGACCCCGCAAAGGGGACAGGAGGCAGCCAGAATGAGGAGACCATGAAGAGAGGAGAGCAGTGTGTGTGGAGCCCGGGGAAGTCGGGGGACCCCAGTGTGGGAGGGGCCAGGGAGAAGTGAGTGGGTAAATTTGTTTAAGGAAAAACACTAGACCCGACACCCTGACATGCTCCCCGACAAAAAGTACAGAAATGCCTCACAGAATCACAGACAATCCTGAGCTGGTGATTCTAATGTGCAGCCAAGGTTGAGAACCACTGTTCTACACGTTGGAACGTGCTCTGTCCTTAAGAAGTAGACACACGGGGACAGGAGGCGGAGGGAGAATGGCTTTGACCCAAATGCCCTACTGTGCGCCTTTGTCTCCCGAGCATTTATCTGCCCAAAGCACCCGGGGCAGCCGTCTCCTCTGTGGTCAGGGTTTCCCATTAAGAACTATGCAGGAAGATAACATCACTCAAAACCTACCAAGAACTCATCCTTGATGGCGGTATTTCGGACGCCTTCCATTTAAAATGAAGAATGAGGTGGCTGCTCACTCTCCCAGGCACCCATCATTATACTAGAGATCCTCGCCTAAGCAATAAGATAAGAAGGGAGAAAAACATGTAAGGCAGAAAGGAAAAATGATGTCATCATTATTCCACACAATACAATTAGCTACGCAGAGACCCCGAAAGAGACAGCAGGAATGTATTACACATAGGAATAGAATTTAGCAGGATATACAAAAAGCATTTACATTTATAGACTCCAGCAAGAAATAGAAACTTCGTGGTTTAAGCATAGCCCTAGCTGGTTTGGTTCAGTGGATAGAGTGTCAGCCTGCGGACTGAAGGGTCCCAGGTTTAATTCCAGTCAAGGGCGCATGCCCAGATTGTGGGCTCGATCCCCAGTGGGGGGCATGAAGGAGGCAGCCAGTCAATGATTCTCTCTCATCATTGATGTTTCTACCTCTTTCTCCCTTCCTCTTTGAAATCAATAAAAACATATTTTTAAAAAAAAGAATGACACATTTAAAATATATATATACCACTTACTATAGCAACAGAAAATAATTTAGTTCAGAGTCATATGATTTCATGAAGAAAATCATAAAACTTAATTAAAAGGTAATAAAGAGCAATGATATAAGTAGAGAAATGTTCACTGTCTGTTGTTAGAAAAATCTGATGATATAATAGAAGAGCAGAGAACCAACAATAGACAAGATGGAGGAGGGGAGGAGGGGGGGAGGGGAGGAGGGGAGGGGGAGGAGGGGGGAGGGGAGGAGGGGGGAGGGGTGGAGGGGGGAGGGGTGGAGGGGTGGGGAGGAGGGGAGGGGGAGGGGAGGGGGGGAGGGGGGAGGGGGAGGGGGAGGAGGGGAGGGGGGAGGAGGGGAGGGGGGGGGGGGGGGGAGGGGGGGGGGGGGAGGGTGGAGGGGGGAGGGGGGGAGGGGGGGGGGGGGAGGGGGGAGGAGGGGGGGGGGGAGGGGGGAGGGGGATGGGAGGAGGGGAGAGCAGGGAGAGGGGGAAGAGAAGGGGCGGAGATGGAGGAGAGGCTGGTGGCGAAGGATTTTCTCTGCCAGTTAATGCAAAATCATCCCAGCTGATACGGACGGTTCTTGCCTTGAGGGACAGATAGAAATGACACAAATTGGGCCGGAAGCAGAGCCGTGTGTTTCTGCAACTTAACATGCGAGAGTGAGCATCTCAAACCACAGCGCAAACCATCAGCAACGGATGATGCTGATTCTCTACCTCAAACCCTGCAGCAAAGCCACGTCCGCGGGGACCATGGCAGTCGCTACAACGTGAAAGCACAGGAGACCACCGCTGAGACTTCTGTGAGCATCTGGGCTCCTTGAGATACAAAAAGGGGAAGCAATGCAGGAAAATGGGATACATCTGACAAAATTAAAAGTTTTAAACTTCTATTTTGCCTGTAACTGTAGAAAGCGAAAGGACGGGCCACAACAGGGAGAGAATATTTGCAAATTGTACCACGAGCAAAAAATAATACCCAGAGCATTTGAAGAATTGCTGCATGTCAATAAGAAAAAGTAAAATCTGGTGCTAGAACGGGCAAAGGCATTTCCCCAAAGAGAAAGCAGATGGCTAACGGACATGTGGGAGACGGGCAATGAGGCCAAGGCGAGTTAAAACGCGATACCACTTACCACCTCCAGATTGGGGAGAAAGTGTTCTTAAGTAAATGAGCCTCGCTAGCAACCAGGAAAATGAAAATTAAACCAACAGTGGGGTAGCCCCTGACCCCCCTCAGATTGCCCGGATGTCAGAGTCTCACGCTGGAGACCCCCTTCCGGGAACGCTGGGGAGCGTGACCAGACTGCGTGCCCCACAGACAGCAACGACCCCATTGGGCCAACATATGAAACGCAACCATCTGAGAGTGTGAGCAGTGACCCGGTGCAGGCAGACACCGGGGCTGGCCCTTGAGGTGTGAGGACTGGAGGGCGAGATGTGCGCGCGTGTGGGTTTTTGCCTGAGGAAACTCCTCCATCCAGGTTTCATCCACGTAAAACAGAAGGCGGCAGTTCCACTGGCTTGCGATGTCACGGGAGAGTTCAGGGCTGAAAAGACGAGTGGCTGGAAAGGTAGAAGGGAAGTCCTGACGCAGAGGAAGCCAAGAGGGGGTGAGGCCTGGGGGGGAGGGGGGGAGGAGGGTCCACTTTGAATCTGTGTATTAAATCCACGTAACTCCTCGGCTGGTTAACTGCACAAGAAGGGAGAGGCTGGTGGTCTGGAAAAGGCAGCAGCTGGAAACTAAGAACTTAATGGAGACTTCAGCTGCTACCCACCAAATAGACAGAATATGGGGTTCGATTCCCTCCAATTTAACTGCCTCCTCAAACCAACGTGTTTTCTCTTCAGAGGAACATAACCGATCCCAGTCCAGATGTCTAGTGTACAATAAAAAATCGCTAGACATGCAAAGAAACCGGCAAATAAAATGTGAGCCGCAGTCGGGAGGAAAAGAAGTCACTAGAAACCGACCTCGAGATGATAAGACAGGTGCTGAGATTAGCATACGAAGGACTTTAAAGGAACTATTAGTATTATACTGAAGGACTAAAGGAAAATATAGTCATAATGAATGAACAGATGTGGAATCTCAGCAAGTAAATGGAAACTATGAGTATTCTAGAATGGAAAAGCACAGTAACAGAAATGAAAAATCCATAGCGTATTGGAACGACAGGAGAGTCGGTGAGCTTAGACTTAGAAATTATCCAACATGGCAAACAACGGGAGCATGCACTGAGCCTCAGTGCCCGGTGGGACAATATATAGAAGCCTGATGTGCGTAACTGAGGTCTCAGAAGCAGAGAGAGAACACACTTCCATGTGGGTGAAGAAATAACCGCTCCCCCAGGTCCCAGGGGCTCCGCACCTGCTGCAACCGCTTGGATCCCTGAACTGTTGTGCAAATCGGCGATCAGAGTTCATCTGTCAGGAGTTAGTACCTGATGGGAAAGGCTCCAAGTTTCTTTTTTAAAAAATAAATATATTTTTATTGATTTCAGAGAGGAAGGGAGAGGGAGAAAGAGATAGAAACATCAATGATGAGAGAATCACGGATCGGCTGCCTCCTGCACACCCCACGTTGGTGAGCGAGCCTGCAGCCTGGACATGGGCCCTGACCGGGAATCTAACCACGACCCCCTGGTTCATTGGCCGACCCTCAACCACTGAGCCAGCCGGCAGGGCTCAAAGTGTCTCCCTTTGGCCACCAGGACTAGACAGGGCGACCTGCTGGGGGTTGGTTCGTTGGTGGTTGATCTCAGGATGCGAGAGGCTCTCTTGACTTGGCTCTTGGCTGTGGCTTGACGCTCAGCCACAAGGCAGAGGGCAGGGCTGCGGCAGCGTGGCCTTCACGCCTGCCCATTTCCGTGTAAAGGGCTGTTACTGTCGCGGGGGCCGTGTTAGGTTACAAGGAAGAACGCGGAGGATCCTGGAGGGCTCTGTGCACAAAACACTAACGCGGAGGCTCGGCGACCTGGGATGGCGAGGGCGGGGCTCTGAGCAGCACTTTCCTAACCTGTCATATGGGGGGAGGGGTCCCCCGGGACCTTGAACTCCCGCCAGCACTGAGTTTTCTGAGATTCCCTCGTCGGTGCACACCTGCCTGGGGCGCTGTTGGCCGGCTGGCTTTCTGTACTGACATGAACCGTCACTGAGTGACACACCCATCAGGCCCTGCTCCAGGCACTGGGCACACACTGACCCATCTCATTCTCAAAGCTCTGTGACTGCGGACCGTGCCAGCCCATTATAAAGCAGAAGGGGAAACTGAGGCAGGGGAGTTCAGTCAATGGCCGAGTCCCCACTCTTGTCAGTGCCCTCCCCTCTTTCCTGGCCTGACGGGGACATCTCTGTTTCAGAGAGGGAAGTGTTGAGCCCCAGTGTAGCCCAAAGGATACAAGAAACAGCCCTGGCCGGTGCGGCTCAGTGGACAGTGTGGGCCTGTGGACCAAAGGGTCCGGGGTTTGGTTCCGGTCAAGGGCAGTACCTCAGTTGCTGGCTCCTCCCTGGCGGGACCCTGGTGGGGTGCATGCAGGAGTCAACCAATTGGTATGTTTCCCTCTGTCTTTCCCTCTCCCTTCCACTCTCCCTAAAAGTCAATGGGAAAATACCCTCCAGTGAGGATTAACAACAAAAAGAAGAGAGAAACAATGGCGCCGCAGTGACAGTGCCCCTGCCAAGGTCACAGGGTCAGACCTCCGCTCTGACCTGGAGCTGATCCCCGAGGAGGAGGAACTCAACCCTAAAGTCCATTATTGAAGGGGGGGGGGGGCGCTGGGGGAGAGGTGGTGTAACTAGGTTTCCATGTTGGCTGAGCTGGAGGCTGACTTTGAACCCAGACTGAGAACAGGGCTGGGGGCATCCAGGGCCGATGCCCAGCCTCCTGCCTGCTCCTCCCTGTGGCGCGAGGTCCCGGGAGATGCCGTGCGCGGAAGGGCTTCGGGGAGTCCAAAGCCTGGACGGCTGGGCCTCAGGTGGGCCCTGGCCCATCGGTCCTCTGCTCTCTCCCCAGGTGAGCGCCTGGCCGCCCTGCTGGTCACCCGCGCGGCCGCCGCCTTCTTCCTGGACCGAGGCGCCCAGGACCTGCTCCGCGACCTGCACGAGGCCTTCCGCGAGAGCCCGGCGGGCGCGCGGAGGCAGTTCGAGGCCGTGCTCTCGGCGCGGGACCGGGAGCGGGTGCTGGCCCAGCTGCGGGAGGCCGCGGACGTGGGGTTCGCCCACTTCCAGGAGGCCGTGCGGAGCCGCCCGGAGCTCCGCGACGACTCGGGCCGCGAGCTGCTGGCCCCGGTGGCGCGCGCTCTGCGCGTCCTGTTGCGCGTGGCGCCGGCCGGGGCGCGCCCGGCCCTGGGAGCCCGCCTGGCCGAGTGCCTGCTGCTGGCGGGGGACGCGGGGGGCGCCCGGGCCCTGTGCGAGCGCCTGCTGCGCCCCCGGGACCGCGCGGGCACACGCGCCGGGGACCCTGCCGGGGACCGAGTGCCTCTGCTGGCGCTTCGCGGCTTCTGCGCGCTGCACGCGGGGGACGCGCCGGGCGCCCGGGAGGACTTCCAGGAGGTGGTGGCGCAGGGCCCGCCGCACCCCCGCGGCTGCGTGCGCGCCCTGTGCGGCCGCGGGCTGCTGCGCGTGCTGGCGGGGAGCGCGTTCCTGGGCGCGCTGGACTATGTCACCGCCTGCCGCCTGCAGCCCGAGGAGGCCCTGCTCGTCGCCAAGGCCTTCGTGCCCTGGAACCAGCGGGGGCTGCTGCTGACGGTGCTGCGCGAGGAGGCCCGCAGGATGCTCCAGCGGAGGCCCGACCCGGGACCCACGGGGCCCACGGGCGCGCGGGGCCGCCGGAGCCAGGCCGCGGAGACCGACGCCTCCGCCGAGCAGGACGGGTAAACACCGGCCCCGTGCGCTCCGGGCGGCTGCATTCTGGGCTTCTGCGGGGCAGCCCGGTGCTGCTTCCAGATGCGTGAACGGAGGCGGGGTGGCGGGGGTCTTTAGGTCACTGGGAGCAGATTTAGCGCCGGGGCTCAGGCCTTTTTTTAAAATGTATTTTACTGATTTCAGAGAGGGAGGAAGAGGGAGAGAGACAGAAACATCGATGAGAGAGAATCATGGACCGGCTGCCTCCTGCACGCCCCACACTGGGGATTGAGCCTGCAACCCCGGGCCTGTGCCCTAACCGGGACTCCAACCGTCCCCTCCTGGTTTGTAGGTCGGCGCTCACCCACTGAGCCACGCGGGCGGGCACCCAGACCTTTTCTATCAAGACTGACGCAGAACATTAGAAACTCAAACACGGAAATGGCAAAATAAAACGCACCCCTCGCCCCACGGGGGCGTCCCTCCCAGCTGGTTCTCTGTGCAGGGAACCTGCAGCCCACCGCCACTTGGTGCTCAGTTAGAATTAGGGTTTGTCACAAGCTGCGTGTCCCGCAGCCCAGGAGCCCACCCGGGACCCAGCCATCCGCCCCAGCTTCTGCTCTTCCTATAAGGCCCCCCGGGTGCCTCCACCCTGTTCTGCCCCTAACACGGAGGACGAGGGGACTCCTGGGTCGGCGAGTGTGGCCCCTGTGAGGGCCTTGCCTTGGGGAGCTGCCCACCTGCCCATCGGGGCCCACACCCCGCCCTGAGGTGCCATTGCAAACTTTGCCAGCCCAGCGATGACTCCGCAGCTGTTTTGAGCTGAAAGGACTGAGCTGGGGGCCTCCTGGGGGGCGTGTGTGATGTCACCACCTCTCTCTCCCTCCCTCCCTCTCTCTCTTTCCCTCTCTCTCTCTCTCTCTCTCTCTCTCTCTCTCTCTCTCCCCCCCCCCCCCCTGCCCCTGGTTGCTTGGCTTGCCTGGCTTTGACTTGCTGGCAAGGGGGCACTTCCACGGGTGTGGTTGGGGCCTTTATATTTGTTCTCTCTGGGAATTTTCACGTCCCAGGGTGCCCACCCCCGCTCCCAGTGGGAGTTCATTTCCCCTTCAGGGCCCCAGGAGCAGGGCCTGGTGGGCTCCCTAGCTCTGCCCCGCACGCCCCTGGGCTCAGCAAGGGGCACTGTTATCCTGCGTTTGCAGAGAAGGAGAGTAGGGCAGGGTTGCCGGGGTCAGCACCCAGCCTCCATTCTCCCATCTGTAGGGTGCCTGCCCCACAGGGTGGGGGAGGGGGGAGGGAAGAAGGGGGAGGGTCCTTCCAGCCGCCCCTGGTCTCTGCTGCCCAGCAGAGGGAGCTGCCTGGGCCAGGTGCGTGGGCAGGACTTGCCTGTGGCCAGGCTACCTGGGTGGGGGGTGGGGGGTGTGGAGGGGCCTGCGCTCCCCCAGCATCGCTCTCTCTGCAGGGACGCCCAGGGCGTGTACCAGCTGGCCACGCTGCTGATGGAGCTGGACACGGAAGACGAGGAGTCCCGCCTCCTGGCGGCCGACGCCCTGTACCGCCTGGGCCGCCTGGAGGATGCCCACAAGGCGCTGCTGGTGGCGCTGTCCCGCCGGCCCCAGGCGGCCCCCGTGCTGGCGCGGCTGGCCCTGCTGCAGCTGCGGAGGGGCTTCTCCTACGATGCCAACCAGGTGAGGGCCCCTCGCTCTGCGCCGGCGGTCTTGGCTTGGAGCGGGCAAAGCTGTCCCAGCCTCACTCCGCCACCCCTGGCTGGTCACTCGCCACCCCGACCCGCAGGCTCCTCCTCTTGCCCTGGTCTTGCTGTTGCCACAGGAAGTAGCTGGAGCAGGTGCCCGGGCCCCCGCAGGCCTCAGCATGCAGTAGGCACTCCCTATGTCAAAAGGGGCCATCCCAAACCTCCCACGTAAATTCGGCTTGGACATGGCCCTGTCCGGGGAAGGGGGGGCGGTGAAGGGGCCCCAGGCCCTCAGACCCTGCTGGCTTCCCTCCGAGACTGCCCTGCTCCCAGGAAAAGCAGACTTCACCTCCCTGGGCTTCCTGCTGGAACGGGGTCAGGAGGCTGCCTCCCAAGGGAAGGTGTGGGCCTTGGCGAACTGTCGGCGGTGCGGCCTGTCAGCGTCCCCTCCCCTCTGACCTGGCCGGGGTCTGTCTCCCCGCACTGGGATACGAGGGAGGGAGGGAGGAGTGCTGTGGGGCCTGTGTCCACAGCCAGCACCCAGCACCCAGCACCCTGCAGGGGCACGTCGGGTCTCTTTGGGGTGGGGCTCCTGAGCTCCAGGTCATGTCCACCTGGGGTCTCGATCCACCCAGACCCCTCTGCCTCCCACACACGGAGGAGGAGGCGTCGGTTAGGGACCCTGAGACACCCCAACTCCCGCCACTCAGTGGAGAAGAGTGGCCCAAAGGGGTGCTCACACCTCCCGCACCCCAGCCTTCCCTAGGGACTCACAGTCATTGCCCCAATAGGAGCCATGCCCCCAGGAGCCACACCCACCACGAGCCACACCCACCACGAGCCACACCCACCAGGAGCCTTGCCCCTTTGCTGACCACGCCCTTGTTGGCCACGCCCCCACATCATGGGCTATGCCCCATTGGCCATGCCTCCGCGGGCCACGCCCCCACGACCATGGGCCACGCCCCCATGGCCACGTCCCCGTGAGCCGGCCCAGCCCGGAGCCTGGGCGCGGAATGGAGTAGGGAGGGCACAGGAGTCACTGCGGGACCCTCCTGGCCCGGCAGCTGGTGAAGAAGGTGGTCCAGTCCGGGGACACGGCCTGCCTGCAGCCCACCCTGGACGTCTTCTGCCCGGAGGACCGGCAGCTGCTGCGGGGCCACTGCCACGCCCGGGCCCTGGCCATCCTGCGGGCACAGCCAGGCGGGCCCGAGGGCGAGGCCCACACCAGGGAGGCCATCGCCTACCTCTCTCTGGCCATCTTTGCTGCAGGTAGGAGCTGCCTGCCCGCCCATGGGGGCCCCCTCCTGTGCCAGGTACATGGGGAGCCTCTGCCTAGCTGGGTGTGGGGGACCCCGGGTCCAAGGCGCCCTTGGTGCGTGGGTTCCAGGGTGTGCGCGCCCTGGGAACATCCATGGGGCGGACGGGGAGTGGCCCACTGGCTGCGGGCACCTTGCACGGAGGCCCCGGCCCCCCAAGTGAGTGTGCTAAAGGCCGGAGAGGGGCAGGCCAGCGGGAACTGAGCTGGGCCCTCCCACACCCTGGGCCCTGAGGGTAGGGGGCCACCTGAGGGTAGGCTCCTCTACCAACTGTGGGAGGTGAGGGCCCCGCTTCCCTCAGCCCCTCCTGGAAGCAGGGGGCTGTCCTGTGTGTGGCCTCCCGGCTCACTCAGCCAACCTGCCTGCTCACTCAGCCAACCTGCCTGCCCTGCCCTGGTGCCGGGCAGGGGCCTGGTCAGAGGGTCGCAGGGACAGGGAAGGGACATTCCCGAGGACCCACAGTGAGCTCCTGGGGGCTCGAGACTCCGCGTGGACTCGGAATCGGATGCCAGTGCCTTTCTGGCTGTGCTCACGGGCACCTCCTCCCCACCTGGGATGATGCAGACGCCCCAGGAGCAGGAAGTGGGATGAAGAGAGCTAATTCCTGCACAGCTGGGCCCACATCGTCCTGCAGGCCCAGAGCATGTCTCCTGTGTCCATCACTGGCCCCTCCTGGCCCCTCACCTCAGGGCAGCTGCAGTGCCCCTTCTCTCAGAAGCCCCTCTGACTCTCCCAGGCGCCACCCTCCTGTTTGGGCTCCCCATGCCCTGCAGCCAGACTGCCCTGCGGTGCCCTGTGAGCTCCCCGAGGTGGCCCCACAGCTGCCGCCCCTCATCGGGCACCGGGAGGGGCGCCGTAAAGGCTGGATGAAGCGAGAGGCACTGTGCCCGCCTGTTGCCCATCTGTGGCCAGTGAGTGGCCCTGATGCCACACCCCTTCCTCCAGGGAGCCAGGCCAGCGAGTCCCTGCTCACCCGCGCCCGATGCTACGCGCTCCTGGGCCAGAGGAAGACCGCCCTGTTCGACTTCAACTCCGTGCTGCGGGCCGAGCCGGGGCACATGCAGGCGCTGTGCGGGCGGGCGCTCCTGCACCTGGCTCTGGACCAGCAGCAGGTGCAGCCCCACCCCCACCTGGGCCTGGGCAAGCGCAGTGGGGGACGCTTTGGGGTAGCTGCTGCCTTCCCCCTCCGCCCCCAGAGAAGAGCGGGAATAGGGTCCGGCCACCCCGACTGTGAGATGCCCATCAAAACCCCGCTGCCCGGGGCGCACCGAGCCTCCTGGTCACATCCAGTATGGGCTCTCCCTGGGTCCGCATGGACACGTGTGCTAACCCTCAGGGCCACCAGGGGGCCCCGGCCTAAGATACTGAGACCTCGGCTGGCATCTCCGGTGCTACCCTGACTGTGTACACGGGGCCTGTGGATTCGGGTCCTCGGGGGCGGGAGGGGCCCCTGCCAGGCCCGGGGCAGCTGCTTCTCACAGAGAAAACGGGCCCAGAGGCAGCCACAGCCGAGTGGCCTGGACAGGCACCTCTCAGCCAAGAGCAGTGCCCCCGGGAGGTGACTGCACTTGGCCGGCTGCCAAGGCTTCACTGAGGGAGAGTGTGTGTGTGTGGTTGGGGGGGGGGGGGGGGGGGCTGGGGAGGGTGCTGCCTGCCAGAGTCTCTAATGAGCTTCGGGGCTAGAGTCCTCGGAAGCCAGGAAACCGATCCCAGCTGCCAGGAGGGCACCTCCCACAGCGCTTGCTTCTGTCCCAGGAGCCCATTCCCCCGAGGGCCTGGGGGCTGGTCCCGTCCCCGCCGGGCGCACTGGGCTGGGAAGCGGCCTCTGCATGTCCCTCCCTGGGCTGGATAAGCACGTGGTTCCCAGGGACGAGCCCATTAACCGGAAACGGGAATCGGCCAGGCGGGCCCTGTTGCAGGGGGGCCGGGGGCTCCCCACAGGCCCTCAGCTCCTCGTTTGGCTGACCTCCCCCCGGCTGAGCAGGCAGGGGCTGGACTGCCTGCCCTCGGGTGTCCCTGGCACCCAGACACAGGAAGGCAAATACGTGACAAGCGGGATGACCCCGCCCCCGCCCCGTCTGCCCTGCAGGAGGCCGTGGCCGACGTCCTCTCGGCGCTGAGGCTGGACCCGCGGGCGGCAGTCCCTGAGCTCCGCTCCCTGAAGCCGGAGGCCCAGGCCCTCGTCGCACAGGGCCTGTCGTCCTGCTGCCGGGGCCTCCTGAGCCGGCGGCCGGGCCCTGGGGCCCCCCTCGGTGACAGCGACATCCAGGGCCTCCTGGCCGCGGGGGAGGCGCTGATCGAAATGGACGCGGGGCAGCTGCGCGGGCACCTCCTCCTGGCCGACGTGCTCATGGCCCTGGGTACGTGGCGGCCAGGCCTGGGGACGTGGTCTCTGTCCCGCTGTCCCCGCTCCTCTCACCCCTGGAGTCCCTTCTGTAAGCCGGGAGGGACCCTGACCCAGTGGCCTCTAAGATCCCTCCACCCGAATCCCAGTTCCCCGGCCTCGGTCCCCGTGAGCTATGCCCCATTGGCCATGCCTCCGTGAGCACATCTGGCTCCCGGTGACCTCCTGTCTGGGCCCGCAGGGAGGACAAACAGGCGGTGACTGGGGGCTTCACACAGGCCCCGGCCCTCAGTCACTCAGGCGTTAATTCAACAGATGTTGGCCGAGTGCCCAGCCCAGGTCCCATCCAGGCGGGTCTTCCGCCCACATGTGCCCAAATGCTGGTCTTTCCTGGAAAATCCTGAATTCGTTTCAGCACTAACTTAAAAGAGGGGGGTCCTCAGTGCAGCCTGCATGTCCCCCATCGGTCATCCCTGACTCCAGTCCTGCTCCGGCCCCTGCTGGCTGCTGGCCGGGGAGGGGGTGGGCGGGGTGCCCGGGAAAGAGCAGACCCATGTGAGGGGCTCAGAGCCCTGCTGCTCGGCCTGAGAGACACGGGCTGGGGCACTGGCAGCAGGCACGTCCATGTGACCTTATGGCATCACCATGTCCCTCTGCTCCTGGCTGCTCCTCCCGGGGCTGAGCCCTTCCATCAGCCTGCTGCTCCCTGACCCAGCACAGAGCAGGAAAGGCTGTGGCCAGCGAGGCCCACCTCTGCCTCCCACCCCAGCTGACTGCCCTTCCGAATCCCTGACAGGCAGGTATGAGGAGGCGGGCACCCGCCTACAGGAAGCCCTGTGCCCCACCCCGCCCTCAGAGGCTGCCCGGGCCCGGCGTGGCCTGCTCCGGCTCAAGAAGGGAGATGTGCCGGCCGCGGCCCAGGACCTGCAGTGCCTGGCGGAGACGGACGCCGGGGACCTCCGCTTCCTGCTGAGCCTCCTGGAGGCCTCGGAGCGGCAGGGCCTGGCCCAGGTGCGTGCAGCACCCCAGGGAGCCCCAAGTCTGCCCCTCCCCCGCACCAAGGCCCTCAGGGCAGCGCTACATTCTCCACTGCTGATTTCAGGGGGGTGTGGGGTGTGGGGTGTGGGGTGTGGGGCGGGGAGCCAGAGCTGCCAGGTGTCACCATCTCAAGCTCAGCTCTCACAGCGCCAGTGACCTTCAGTTCCTGGCACAAGGCGTATAAGCCACAGGTGACTTGGGTGGGGAGAGGGAGGGGTCCCCTCCTCAGAGCCAGGCGAGACGGCCAGGAGCCCCTTGCTGCTGCAGGAAGCCCATCCCAGTCCCAGGTCAGGCCAGAGAGAGGTTCCTCCCAGGAGCGCAGGTGGAGAGGCGGCTCCTGCAGGTGGAGACACGCTGAGCTGGGATCGCTGCCTCTTTGGCTGGTTTTCACTCCACTTTATCCCACAAGAATGTTCTTCGCCAGGTGCTGGGTGTGGCCACAGCCCCGCCCTCTGGCCCTTGACCTTCAGGGGAGAAAACGGGGTTCACTTCAGAGAGTGTCAGTGCAGCGGGCTGGCGAGGTCGCACTGGCGGTGAAAGCAGGGTGGGGAGACAGGTGGAGGCCACGGCCTGGCTGTAGGACCGAGCGGCCTAAAACGGCGCTGCTGACGTGAGGTGGGGGCGGGCTGGCTGGGGGAGAGGTTTCCAGCCTAAGCTTAATGCAGTGGTTCTCAACCTTGGCTGCACATTAGAATCACAGAGGGCAGCGTGCGGTCGGTGCTGGTCTGGCCACCTGCCCCTGCACTGGCGGGAGGACACGGGGTAGGGGTGGAAGCTGCCATGCACCCCTGCGTGGGAAGTTAGCCTGTGGGGGAGGGGGGGAGGTGAAGGGACCCCCTCTAGGGGACAGTGTGCTTTGAGTCAAAGGACGGGCACTCGAGCCCCGTGTGGCCGGGGCGCCCCTGCTCCAGCACTCGGGGTCCGCAGGAGGAGGAACAGCGCAGGGGTGGCAGCGAGGGTTTATTTCTCAGAGGGGCTGGCTGCACGCAAAGAGCGCAGAGCCATGGGTAATGGGGGGGAACGCTGCCCCCGAGGGCGGGGAGCCAAGGAGTGAGAGTGTCTCCGGACCGAGAGCGCAGGAGGCGCCGCAGGGCGAGGACCTCTGGGGAGCGGCCGGGGTTTTGGGGTGGCCAGGGACTGGTTTCCGCTGCCAGGAGAATCCGCGCCACGCGCGCCTGTTGCCTAGCGACAAGTGCCGACCCGGAAAAGAACCGGAAGTACTCACGCCCCGCTTCCGGTGTCACTGCAGCCCGCGGCCCCGCCCGTGAGCCCTGGCCGCGCGGAGCCTGTCCGAGGGCGCCGCACCAGCGCGGCCAATGGTTAGCGTTGCGGGAGCGGAAGGCGAGCTGGGCTCCGCGGGTCCCAGGCCGCCCCGCCCTGGAAGGAGCCGCAGCAGGGACGCCGCGTTCACTGGACGCTGGTCCCGCCGCCTCCCTCCCCGCCTGGGCCAATGCCCGCAGACGGCGGCGCGCTGGGTGCCCTGTGCCTCCCTGGCACGTGGCGCGGAGAGGCATTAGTCCCACCCGGCTGCCCGGTGGAAAGGGAGGGACGGGGCAGGCGGGGTGTGAGGTGCCCCGTTCCTCGTGGCAGCCGCCGTGGGCTCTGGAGGGAAGAGCCGTGGGAGGCACGCGGGTTGTCCGGATGGTTAGGGAAGGTTTGAGGGGGCTGCGGGCGCTCAGAAAGGAAGGGAGCCTGCAGGCGACAGGGACCGCAGCACCGGATACCGGCTGTGACCGCATCCTGTCCCCACCTGTGACCTCGTCTTGTCCCCACCTGTGACCTTGTCCTGTCCCCACCTGTGACCCCGTCCTGTCCCCACCTGTGACCGGATCCTGCCCCCACCTGTGACTGGCTCTGCAGGACCCGAGTGGGAAGTCCACTAGTGCTTCCTGACCTCGGGCTGCTGAGGGGGAGCAAGGACCAGGCTGGGCAGAGGTGGTGTTTGGTGCTGTCCCAGGGCCGGGCAGGGGGAGGCCCAGCAGAGGGGCCCGGAGAGGAGCAGAGGGCGGGAGGGAGGGGGCCGCCCAGTGAGACAAGCAGCAGGGCTGTGAGAAGGGAGATCCGGGAGGAGGAGAGGGGGGTGAGGAGGCCTCAGCGGCCTGGGGAACGGCAGGGAGGTGCCTGCTCCGGACACGGGCAGCTCCTGCAGAGCCCAGGTGTGCAGGGCCAGTGAGGGGCCGACACATCCGGGCTGACCGCACCCCTCCCTCTGTCCCCCCCGCAGGCTGCAGCCCAGGAAGCCAGCACCCTCCTGACCTCGGGGCAGCCTAGGCAGGCGCTGGGCTACTGCTCGCTGGCCGTCCTGGCGGGTGGCGGCAGGGCCGGTCACCTGCGCCTGCGGGCCGCCTGCCTGGCCGAGCTGCGGGAGTGCGGCCGGGCGCTGGGAGACCTGGACCTCGTGCTCCGGGAGCGTGCGGCGGACAGCGACCTCCCGGTGCGGGCGGAGGACCTGTGCTCCAGGGGCCGCCTGCTCCTGCGCCTGGGGAATGAGGCCGGGGCCGCAGGGGCCTTCGCCCAGGCCCTCACGCTGGCGCCCGCCCCGGCCCAGAGCAGCCTGTGGGAGCGGCCTGGCCGGGCCCCCGCCGCCCAGGTGCTGCTGGGCCACGGGCAGCGCTGCCTGGAGGAGCAGCGGTACGAAGAGGCCTGGACGGCAGCCGAGAGCGGGCTCCTGGTGGACCCCGAGCACTGCGGCCTGAGGAGGCTGAAGGCGAGAATCCGGAGGGAGGCAGCCTCGGGCTGCCGGCTCCACTGACCCGAACGGCCAGGCCCAGCCACGGGGCCACCCTGTCCTTTCCCCCCAACCAGGAGGTGCTGACCCCACCCTCCCAGCTCTGAGGTGGACGGGTCGGCAGAGAGAAGGGAGTTACGCTGGCCTGGAGCCCAGAGCCCCTCCCTGCAATGGCGCCCCGATCCCCAAGGCTGGACCCTGGCGGCCCTAGCCTGGGGCCAGCAGGTGGACAGGATGAAGGCCAGCCCTGGTGGCCCTAAGGAGCTGGTGCAGCCCCTGCCTCGGCGTGAAGCAGCCTTTGACCCTGGCCTAAGCCAGAGACGAAACTCCCCGGCTGGGGCCTGCGGCTGAGCCCCATCCTCATCAAGTCATTCTCCGGGCAGCCCAGCGCCCACGCCCACCCCCGCCATGGCGACGGTGTGGCCCCTCCTCCCTGCTGCTCTGAGCGCCCCCCCTACCCACCCCCCACCCCCCATGAGCCAAGGGCCGGCTGCTTGCTGGTCTGGCCGCTCCGGGGCCGGACGGAGCTTCCTCTGTGGGTGAAACTCGCCCTCCTGTTTCCTTGGAAACCCTCTCTCCTGGGGAGGCCAGGAGCCCAGCCCCTGAGACCCCGTGAAGTAGCCCCGTCCCATCTGGGAAGCAGGGGCTGAAGGTGCAACAGCAACACACGGTCACAGTCAAGTTTGTGGGTGAGAGGGAGCCACACCCTGGCTCGGGGTGGGTTCCTGCAGAGGGTCTCAGCTCCCAGCGCCCCAGGCAGCGTCCGTCCGTCTGTCCGTCCTGCTCCAAGCCCCGCCCTCCCACCCAGCCTGCCTCTGGGGCGCTCCCACACCCACTGCAGGTGGACAGGAAGGCTGAGCAGCACCCCCACGTCACGCCTTGCGCTGCAGCCGGCACCGCACAGGGTCCTCCGGAGCAGTATGCCCGGTGGGTCTGACTGAGGCCCCTCAGACTCTGGCCCAAGACGAGAGGAGGCACCTGCGGGCACAGGTCACCACTCTCCGAGGACCTGGTCACGGGCGGGGCCGGTGGCACCTCCCGACCTGGAGACACTGAAGCGGTCAGTCCCTCACCCCCCACCTGCGTGGGAAACGGCGTGTTGGTTTCAAGAGGACGTCAGATCTGGAATTACAGGATTTGGGGAAAATAATAACAAAAAACAGGAAGTGCGATGCCTGGGTGAGACTCAGCTTAGAGTCCCAGATGGAGGTTGAACCCTAAGAAGTCACGCAGCACAGCAACACAGAAGAAAATGAGAAGTACGTCTTCAACTCAAGAAGTTAGGAAAGACCCTGAACAAACGCAGACAAAAGCAGGAAGTAGTAAATGAGGAATGGAAAATAGAAGGACTAAATCGAAGATGTGATTGTTCAGAAATGCAGTGACATAGATGAGCCACCAGCAAACCAGAAGGAAAAGCAGAGACACGCGTCATCCCAGCTGCTGACAGGATGCTCCCTGCTGGGGAGGGCGTTGCTCCCTGGGCCTGTGCTACCTGCGGGCGCCATGGACTCGTCTCGTTTGTGGCCCCTGTGGTTGTGCCGTCAGGATGCAGCTCAGCAGGAGCCGCAGGGACTTTGAGATTCAGTCCTCACGGGTCCTGGAAGCTGCAGGCACGTTGGGGTGCATGGCGAGCTCAGGGCTAGGGCTCCGCCTTCACTGGGTCAAGGGGGGGCGGCTGGGGTCCCTCATTATTGGCTGATTTGTCACATTAGAGAGGGAATTGGGTCTCAGGAAACTGGAGGCAGGGTCACCTGCAAGGTCAGTTACCTGGGCCCCCCATTTCCTGAAAGGGGAACTTCGGGACGCGGGGGGGGGGGGGGAGCGGGGGGTGGAGTGGGGAAGCGGCCAGCTCCTCCTCTGATGGCTTGGCTGTTGGCACACAGCTGGCAGCATGTTTATTGCCGATGCGTGTCCTTTGAAACAGCCATCAGCAGCTTCGTGTCAGGCACTTACCCTACAGACACGCGTTGAAAGGTGACAAGGACAGTAACAGGAAGTTGGAAGAAGCGACCAGATTACTTTTCTCAATTCTATGCGAATGGATCTGAAGGCCCCAGTGACGTGGATCCGTCCTAGGGAAATACTATGTGACTGACTGACTCCGGGGCAGACACAACTCACAGGACAATCCATGGCAGAAGGAGAAGGCGGGAAGGAGCCCCCTCCCCCACCCCCAGCAGGCCCAGGCCCAGACGGTGCCGGGGAGTGTACCACCGTCCGGTCCAGATTGCATTCACCAAGTGAGCAGCTAGAGCAGCCGTGGGCAAACTACGGTTTGAAATGAATAAAACTAAAAAAAAAAAGACCGTACCCTTTTATGTAATGATGTTTACTTTGAATTTATATTAGTTCACACAAACACTCCATCCATGCTTTTGTTCCGGCCTCCGGTCCAGTTTAAGAACCCATTGTGGCCCTCGAGTCAAAAAGTTTGCCCACCCCTGAGTCACTCGGGCAGTTGGCGTGAGCCAGCACAGTCCACGCAGCGTCTCCGGCGGGTGCGCCCGTGTTGGTAGAGCCGGCCCTGCGTGCACCCCCTCTGCCCGGGTCCGATACCCTTGGACTCTTCCCACACAGAGTCCCCAGTGGGACCTGGGAACTCCTGCAACTTGGGGGTGCACAGGCTATGTCCTCCTGGGTCAGCCTTTGCACTTGGCCCCCCGCCCCCCACACGCTGAGATCCAGCCCTACTTGTCGCAGGTGGGGGGCGGGAACTTGAATAGGATCAGCCCCCCCTCCAGGCCCCCGACCCCTGCAAGGTCCTCACGGGGTTGGCACGAGAAGAGGCTGGTCTCCTCGGACGCTGGAGGACAAGCTGCTTCCACTGGGAAGGGGGCTCCACGGACTCGGGGGTTCAAGGTTCTCGGCTTCATCTGAGCCAGAGCAGGCGCCCCCTCCCCAGTGTCGGGGCCCCGTTCCTTCCCCATCAGCCCCAACTTCACAAACAACTTGGAGAGGAGTCTGCATGAGCCAGCATTGCCTTGGCGCGTGAGGAGCGAGCCTGGGCCGACTCGGCAGCGCCAGCCCTGAGCACAGATGGGGTTCCCGCGGGGCGCCTTTGCTCTCTGCTTGCTGTGCCTCCCTCCAGTGCGCGTCCCAGGACCCGAGTGGGTACGTCTCTCCCATAAGTGCGTCCGGGAAACTCGGCCGCCCGGCACCATCCTGGGGCTGCCATTGCACGGCTGACCTCATGCGCGCGCCACGGACCCGCCTGCCAAGGACCTGAGGCCCCAGGACACAACCAAGCCCCCCCCATCCTAGCTTAGGGCCTGGTGACAGGGACCGCTCCTGGCAACAATGTGAGTGTTCTCCGTCGGACCACCCAGGGGACAGAGCCGCACCAGAGAGCCAAATAGCGAGAATGTCCTAGAAAGAACTGCTGCCTGGCAGTGTGGCTCAGGGCTGAGCGTCGACCTAGGAGCCAGGAGGTCGCAGTTCGATTCCTGGTCGGGGCACAGGCCCGGGTTGTGGGCTCGATCCCCTGTGGGGGGCGTGCAGGAGGCAGCCGGTCCATGATTCTCATCATTAATGTTTCTCTCTCTCCCTCTCCCTTCTTCTCTGAAATCAATACAAATATTTTTAAAAATAAAATAACACGCATTGTTTAAAAAAGAAAAAAAAAGAATTGCTGTGAGCATGGCCGGTGGCCCAGTCATAGAGCGCGGCCCCAGTGCACCCCGGTTGCGGGTTAGACCCGGGCCGGCACACGCCAGGAGCAGCCACTGGAGGCATCGTGAGTGGAGCATGTTTCTCCCTCCCCTCCCCCCTCTCCAGTCCATCGGGCAGTAACAAGCATGGCTCCTGGTGAGAAGGCGCCACCTGTGAAAGCGGGGCCACGCTTTAACTGGGACCCGGAAGCAGTGACTGTAGGGCTCAGAGGTGACGGCCCGCCTCTCCGTCACCCCGACCCTCCTGCGCCCCGGCTCCCTCGGTGTCTCCTGAGCACCCCTCTCCCGCACGCACCGCCTCGCTCCCCCCTGACTGACGGGCCTCACAGGGGAGCGGCTCCTGTCCCGGCTGATGGGGCCGCGTTGGTGGCTGGATGGCGGAGACCTGGGTGGAGCCTGTGGGGAGCGGCTCCAGGGTTTGGACGGGTTCAAGCCTCGGACTAATGAGAGGGCAGGTCCTCTCGTGGCAAAGGCCTCCCAGCACCATTACAGCCAAAGGCTGTGGCTGTGAGCCTGACCGTATGGTCCGAACCTGTGGGCCCACGTGGCTGAGTGGTGTGGGCTGCGGGGGGTGGAGCAAGGAAACAAAGCTCGACCAGGTGCATGTGATTGATGGATTCGAAACCCGCCCTGGCTTTGCCCCGTGGAATCTGCTATAAAATAAAGACTCGGCTCGCAGGCTGTGGCCTGTCTCTGCCACCCAGCCCCAGCTTTATCCTCGTCTGTCTTCTTTAACCTTTCACGTCCGCCCCACCCCCACCCCCCCGGGCTCACCCCTGGCCATGCTGAGTGTGGCACAGACACAACCACTCGGCCCATCTCCATCGGGCCTGAAGCAGGACAGCTGAGCTCTGACCCAGCCTGCTCAGAGCCCCCGCCCTGCAGGGCCACTGGCCCCTGGGAATTGGGCTCTGAGCCTCAAGTCCCCGGGGGCAAGTCTCCTGGCAGCCCTGCCCACTCCCATCATGATCAGGGCCCCCACCGCCCCTTACGCTGGGCTGGGCCCCAGAGCCCTCACTGGAGACGGAGGGGAAAGGAGCCTTCGGGGGGGCAGCGTGGAAGGGTCTGGCTTCCTCCCCTTTGGGCTGAGGGGTCAAGGAGCATAGGGGGAGGGGCTGGGGGTCAGGGCCAGAGGCTCTGGACGGGACACTCACTGGGCAGGGGGCCCGGGGCCCCAGGAACTGCTCCCCCTCCCCCACACCAAGCCCAGACGGAACCCGCTGAGAGAGCAGAGGGTCCGCGCCTTGGGGACCCGCCCCCCGCATCACAAAGGAGGCTCGGAAGCTCGGAAGCCACTGGCCTCCCGCCCCTGGGAGCCCCTCCGCCCGGCCCTGCTCCCCAAAACTCTAGGCCATCCTGCCCCAGCCTCCGACCTGCCCTCGGGTGACGGCCATTCCCGAGTGACCTGAAGGTGAGTGGTGGAGGGCCTGCCGGTGGTCAGGCCAGCCGTCCTGGGTGGCACCCAGAACCCCTCCCGTGCCCAGCCCAGCCCTGGGCAGTGGGCATTCTGTGCGCCCTTCCTGGGACCTGGGCCCAGAGCTCCCGGGCACAGCTCCCTCCCCACAAGGAGCCTGAGAGGCCACAGCTGAGCCGCTGCAGCCTGGCCAGCGGCCTGTGCGCCTCCAGCGGAAGCCTGGCTCCGCCCGCCCGTCCTCCCTGCGAAGGCTTCTCAGGACGGATGGATGGCTGTTGGCGGGGATGCGCACCTGAGAGGGACTCGCTCGTCCTGGGTCACATAAGACAGAGCACAGACGCCCAGCCAAGGCCAGAGCCGC